CAGCACCTCTAACCATGCACACAAATCAATCGCATCCAGTCCCCCGAGAGCAACATACTCCAACCAAACGGCCCAAAAAAGCTCCGAGTATTGCCTTTAACGATTCTGATCTTGTCGGCATGACAATCTCCCACATTGATACGTTGATCATCAGATTACGCGTAAACCAGTTTACCGTCGAACGCATCCTCGTAGATTTAGGGAGTACGTCGGAGGTTATGTATTATGAGACCCTTATCAAACTCAGCTTCAACGAGTCAGATTTGTCTCCGGCGCCTTATCCATTATTCAGCTTCAACACGAATCTAGAGTACCCGCTGGGGAAGATCACACTACTCGTTCGAGCGGGCTCTACAACAGTCAAGGTTGAATTCTTGGTCGTAAAGCTTCCTTCGCCGTATAATGTCACCATGGGGCGAACCTGGTTGCATATCATGCAGGCCGTGCCAAGCACCTATCATCAACTTATGTGCTTCCCGACAGCCCATGGCGTTGAAGAGATCCGCGGCTGCCGGCAGTCAGCATTAACAGTTTTGTGAAAGTTCTATCACTGACCCGACTTGTGGGCTTTGATCAATATATTCGGCTTATGCGCCCCAGCCGGCCCATGAATCGATTCTTTAGAACTCTTAAGTTCGTCTCTTCCGGTGCCCGAATGATCATGAACCGCCTGGGGCAAGGGCAGAATCCATGCGCCCATCCGGCGTATCATGTCCATGAGCCAACTACGGCAGGGGCAGATTTATTAATCTAATCGGCTTAAGGGCAGATTCATCAATATATTCGGCTTATGTGCCCCAGCCGGCCCATGAATCGATTCTTCAGAACTCTTAAGTTCGTCTCTTTCGGCGCCCGAATGATCATGAACCGCCTGGGGCAGGGGCAGAATCCATGCGCCCATCCGGCGTAGCATGTCCATGAGCCAACTACGGCAGGGGCAGATTTATTAATCTAATCGGCTTAAGGGCAGATTCATCAAATTATTCGGTATATGAATGATAAGTCAATATTGCCAACATATTCAATCTTAGAAAGCTCAACAGAATAATCATTTTATCTAAAGTAGTGAAAGGCAAAAATTCTTCACCAGCACAACATCACAAACTGTGCATAAGTAGTAGTGAAATGACAAGGTAATTTTCATTAATAAATTGAGCGCAGATAGTAACCAATTTATATATGAAAACTACTCGGAATCACCAAAAGTCCTTAAAACAAAAACATACATCAAAAGTGAAAGCATTTCATAAAATTCGAATGCCTCCCAGATCAATCCTCGGGGTCAGACTCAAGTGGCTCAACGTCCACCTGCTCATATGGAATTGGCAAGTCCAATGTAACCCCAGCAGCATCAAGGGCCTTGAGCCACCCATGTTTGAATCCCCGATTCTCAAACTTGGGGACTTCATCTACGTATTCCTCGAAGGCGGCGCCTTTTCCTGCTTCAAATGCGGCAAGCCTCAGATTCGGCTCTTTCCTTGGCCGCCTTCAACTCTGCTAACTCAGTCTCCACCTTGTTAAGCGCCTCCTTGGCTAGCCTAAGTGATTCTTCGCTCGCGTTCGCTCTATCTTCGGCATCAGAACGGAGCCGATCGGCAGACCGAGCCCTTTCTAATTCAGCTTCGGCTCGTGCAGTCTCCATTGCGGCTCTCATAACCTCAAACTCGGGCCTGCTCTTTTGACCGTCCACTTCTGACTGCAAACGGTCAATCCTCTCAAGGGCATCGTGTAGGCGGCGGCCCAAGTTGTTGATCTTGCCGACCGTCTGCAAAACGAGTTGGGATCATCAGATACCATAGGCAAGTAAAATCAAAACAAGTTAAGGTCACCTACCAAAAGGGCCGACTGCGCAGATAGGGCTACGACCACCAAATCCGGCATGGCATGAAACGAAGCCTTATCAGCTGGCAGGGAGACTGAAGCCGCCAAGCTCAATGCTACCGCTGTGTCGGTAATGATGGATGCGTTAGAAGAAATCAGCGTGTCTTTGATCTTTGGCTGAACAATGAAAGGAACAACCACGTCTGAATTCTTTAAGCGAGGCCGTTTGTTAGCAGGACTATCTTCTGAACCGACCTCTCCCTCGGCGCTACGCTTCTTGCCCCGTTCTTCCGGAATCAACCGTTCTTCAATGACCGGTTGTTCAACCTTTTTCGCCGTTTCAGCCGTAACAATCTGAACCGGCTCTTCAATAACGAGTTTGAAAGACTCAATTAAGACGGGTTCAGAACGGGTGGCCTCGGCCTTTTTTCGGGCGGCCATTAGCTCGGCATTTTTCTTTCGAGCCATTTGCGTGAGGTTTTCCCCAGCCATACTTTCAAAAAAATCGCCGGGTAGGTCTCCCAAACTTGCAAAAATATCTTCAGAAGAAAACTCCGCCCGACCCGAAGTGAACGGTGAGGCAGGTTGATTAAGTTCGGCTGTCTCAAATGCCGAGTTTAGGTCCTCGTCGACCTCTTTGGCCTCCTCAGCAAACTCTCTGGCTGGTTCGGCGACTACCTCTACCACCGGCTCCACGTCTTGCCCCAAATCAGAAGCTTCGAGACCGACTTGCCTAAGGCTCTTGAAGCTAGGGAAGATAAGAGCCGCAAGGTGTTGATCGCTGGTTGGAATTGGAATGTTGTCCGCCATCGAAAAAGTAGTATAAGTAGGCTTGTATCGAAGAAGTATGTGGGCCGCTCTCCCTTGCTTTTGTACGTTTGGACGGCCGAAGTACCCAAGTGCAGTCGCAATCTGCGCAACGACTGCGTCGTCAATAGAAGTCAGAATCTTCTTCAACTTACTGCCTGCAAAGACAAAGGGTTAGACTTAGGGAGAAGGCCGAGTAAAAGAAAAGTTCAATAAGTGCAAGGAGATACACAGCCACCTGGTTCACCCTTCCGTCTGGGAATAGGGTCTAGGCAATCCTCGCCTTCGCCAAACTCCCAGTTCCCTTGGACATTGACCATTACGTCATCCACTCGCTTGCCAGAACTGACAAGCATGGATACCAAATGATGGTCAGTATCCTTGGCCCTAAGAAAGTACTACCCGAGCCGACCGGAAGATTTGGCTAAAGCATAGCAGTGTCGAATAGATGGAATGCCAAGATCGATCCTGAGGCACCGGTTCAACTTTGCGATCCCCATTACGATTCGAAAAAAATTCACATTGGGCTGAGAAGGAATCAGACCCCAATGGCAGAGGACGGCCCTAAGGAATGGATGCAAGGGAAAATGGACTCCGCCCTCCGCAATGGATAGGAGAGGCAAGACGATTGTATTGCAATCCTCTCTCTCCATATCCAGAGTATTGTTTCTCACTAGAGATAGATGAACATCATTAGGAATAGAAAAATGTCATCGGAATCCCGAGATACGACCTTCGGAAAGGAGGTCTTTCAGGTGCTTAGCCATTTTAACAAAGATCCGAGGGTATACCAAAGCTAAAATAAGCACGGAAAATAGGATCGCAAAGAAAGAAAGAAAACTTACGAGGCGAAGAAGACAAGGGTAGACAGACGAAAGTTGCAGAGAAAAGCGTCAGAAGAACGATATTGTCTGGGAATTCAGGAGGCCCAAGTATTCGAGAAAAGCATGCATTCGAAAGGACTGAAGTTTCAAATCGTATTAAATGCAAAACGTGCACGAATGAGGCGGGAAAGCATAATGATGACCAAAAAGACGTGCGCGCTCTGACACATTGGGATAGGCAGAGCTTCCTAACTTATGTCTTGGCTTTTCAGAATCAAAACCAAACACGACAGTTAACTACTGTCAATGGCGAGTTTGGGGGGCAATTGTGGAAGTCGAATAATTGGCAATGCCGGGAAGAGTGTACTCTGCAGAACAAACACTATTCGGCGCTGTCCGACGCGCTCAGGAGGCCAAATACAATAGATAGGCCGGATGAGTGTAAATCCATGGAGTCGAATATGAGAGAGGACAATGAGTAACGAGTAGGCCCTGGCCTCGAGGCCCAGCAAACAAGTATAAATACAAGAACTACAGAGAGAGTAAAAAAAAAAGAAAAGAAGGGTAAGAATCTCCTTATTCAACTTAGAATGCAAGTAATCTAAAGCTGGAGACCGACTTGCCCGTCGGAGTGCTAATTCCGGCAGCCACGTCGGAGTGTTTATTTTCTTTCAGGCCACTATCTGAGGACTCCTAGTGTCTCCCAGGATTAGAAGGATATTTCCAAACCACTTTCCCACAGATGTGTTAACACAACACAAGTCGAACACAAACCTAAAATGACATGATACAATAATATGATATAACAAATGAGTGGAATGTGTTAGTGTTGAGTTAATTTTGATACAAACTTGAAATAACATGACACAATTACGACCTAACACTACACAACACCCACCTTAGTTACAACTTATTTAGCTGACAATAAATCATAAAAAAAAATTAAAAAAAATCCATCCATGTTTAGCAAATGTTAGAAAATCACATTTTTTGAAATTTTATTTTTAGTGAATTTTTAAAAAAATTGTATTAGAAGTTTTTTTTTATTATTATTATAATTATTTTCAAGTGCTTCTAATCTAGCAAGATTTGAAAATTTGAAAAAAAAAAGTATGTAAATCAAAGAAAAACTAAAATGAACACTTATTTGTGAAAATTTAACTTGACTTGAAACATGTATATAAATTTGTATTGAAAGCATGTTGTTCATAATTTCTAATGTCAACATGAATTATTTTACCATTTTGTTTTCTTCTCCTCGACTTGGATCTAAATTTGTTATTTTAGGCGATTAGAATTACAGAGTTGTGAATTCCATTTCTGCATAAGAGATTTTTTTTTTTTTCTCTTATCTTTTTACTTACATACATGCATGTAACTAACTATATATTCTAGCAGTCAATCATGAGCGTCAAATTTGAAACATAGAAGTAGGAAATGAAAAGGGATATCATGGTTCACAATCAAATTAAAAACAAACAGCTTTAATGAAAAGGAAAACATGGTAGTACCTTTACATCATACAAGCTCCACTTAGTTCTGAACTTGTCATCTTGGTGCATATTGGTGCCTAACCACATTTGATCTGTTCTTTTGATGACGCATTTTCACTCTAAAAATTCTCACAAGCCATTCTTCTTTCCTTCGAATGATGCAACTTCTTATCACCAAACCAAATACTGCTCCACATCCGTATCCCATCGACATTGCTTCCCATCCAAAACCATCAAGTTTGCATTTATAATTGTGGCTTGAAGAGGATGGTAAAGATGGTGATTCTGCTACCATGGGAGTTTTACATTCCTTTGACAAGGGAAAACCACACAAGCCTGCATTTCCCCCATATGAAGTGTTTGAAAATGTTTCAAACTGCTAGCCACGTGGTATAATCCCAGTTAGATTATTTTGCGAGACATCAAAAACTTCAAGGAATGTCAAGCTTGTTAGTTCTTGAGGTATCTTACTAGAGAGCTTGTTTTGGGATAGATCCAAGGACTCAAGCTCAGTTAGATTCACCAAGGATCATGCAATCGGACCTGTGAAGCCATTTCCTGAAAAATTTAGCACACTGACGGCCGTAAGTCTTCCAATAGATATGGGAATCTTTCCATGAAACTTGTTATGTGAAAAATCAACTACTTTGAAGATGGTAAGGATCTTAACGTATTCCATTTCATATCCTTTATTCATTATGGTCACCGAATAATAATCATATATGGCTATATATTTTGACTGAGCTTTGTCTTCATTGACCATCATCATTGAATCCCAGCTATCAAAGTATTTTGATGGCAAAGTACCTGTAAAGTCATTGTGAGAGATGTCAATGATATGTAAATCGGTGAAGGCTAATCTCTTCCTTGGTTGCTCTATGGGACCATGGAATTTATTATATCGCAAGACAGCAACCTCCAATTGGGGTAGGTTCTCCCACCAAAATGGAAAAGCATCTTCTATGAAATTAGGACCCAAATTTAAAATTTCTAGGTTCGTGCAATTTGCTAATGATCTTGGAAGCACCCCTTGCAATCCATTGTGGCTAATGTCAAGTTCCTGTAACATGCTTGCGTATCCAAATGTTTGAGGGATAGTACCATGGAAATTGCTTCTTTGCAAATTTAACAAGGTTAATGTGACACTTTTGTTTCTGGGTTCGCTTGAGCGTAAAAAGTCGCGCTCGAGCGGAAAATTTTAACTCTTAGCATCTTTTGAGTTTGCAGACGGGACGCTTAAGCGTAGGAAGTGGCGCTCGAGCGGAGAATGTTGGCTCCCAATTGTTCTCCTATAGCTTTGTAAAACTGCTGAGACTTGTCATTTTGCGCTTGATCGAGGATTCATCACTCGAGCGTGCCTCTTAGTTTATGCCTTACGCTCGAGCGGGAAATGTGGCGCTCAAGCGGACTGTGCGAATTCAGCAACTTTAAAAACGCGATTCTAGATCTTTCCTTCCACTTTTCATTTCTATCTTCCCCATTCTCCCATCTTTTTTGAAAAACCCTAGTTTCTCACTCTAAAATACCTTTCATTCCACTAAGATTTGGCTTAGATCATCTAGCAAAAAGATGAAGAACACTTGGAGATCTTACTCTCCCGCCGATTGGATCTTGATGTTGCGAAGGATTCTTCAAGGGACTTCATTTTCTTCATACTTGTAGAGGTAGGGATACTTTTACCCTAGTATTTCTTTGCTTTGAATGGATTTCATGGTGTGGTTGTGATTCATGAGCCAATTTGAGAATATTGTTGGATTATTCCCATGTTCTATATAAGAAACCATTTCATTTGACTCTTGTTTGAAATTTCTTTATACTCTCCTCTCAAAACATGTACATAAATATTCTTGAAACCCAATTCTGTGATAAACAAGACAAACCCCCAAATTGGGTAAAACCCTAAATTTTCAATTTGAGCTGAAAACCCCAAGTTGAATGGAATTTCCTTTAACTCATGGAATGTTGTGAATAATAAAGGAGTGAAAGATGTGAGAATTGTTATGGCAAATGAATTGAGGCTTGGATGTTATTTTCTTTAAAATGTGGTGTTGTATTCCATTCTTTGGCAATGTTAGATACTTGTTGATTGAAATAAAATGTGATTGAATTGTTGATTGTGGATTGTGGACTAGCCTTTTTCCGTGCCCCGCCTTTTGGAAAGGGTTTGAAAAGAAGGCCTCACAGTTCGGACTCTCACGGTTCTGAATCTAGTCTCACAAAGTGCGATGTGAAACTAATAATCACCAAAGAGTCCAAATTCGGCAAATCGATTTGGAAAATCAATTTTAAATCAAATAATCCTAAAATTGGACTGCTTTGCCAGATATAGAGTCGCCACATAAATATTTTATTTTGGGAAAATTTAGGAAACCTTGACTCGTGCCAAAGGCCATGTGTCCGTCATCACCAAAGTTGCCTCGGCTCGGGAACTTGGGTACGAGAGGGAAAGGTCCTGAAATGAGCACCCCCGCTCGCCCGATCAAAAGATCGGCCTCTACTAATCATGATATGTCATTTTATGAACATTATGTGTTCTTGTTCCAGTTATTAGCTAACATTACTATGTGATGCACACAAGCAAGTATAGACTAGTCACAGGATTTGGAACAATTCAACTCATGTTTGTTTTGAGAAAATGGTTTGAATTTGCCATCCTCAAGTGGGCTTAAAAATGCGGATTTGCCACCAAACATAGTGGACTTAAAACAGGATTTTCCACTCAACAAAGTGGGCTTAAAACGCACATTCATTGAATTGTTCCAATTCAAACAACAAAGCCTCCATCCACAGACATTCATGCAGTTTAGCATTTAAGCACATAGTCTCATGGCAGGCATGCGAAACATGGCAATATGGCAATCACACTCATGCAAGTATGCTAAAGCATAAAACTCACCGAGTACTCCAAGCCAAAACAAAAACTAGTTAGAAAAATGCATGATCCTAACTATGTAAGATGCCTAATGCAACGCATGCGATATGCAACTAAATAGACTCGGCTACTAATATGGCATTTGCAACACTTTGATAGCATGCTTTGAAACATGTATTCAAAGAAGTATTGAAAATGCAATGCAGTTTGAATGATGAGCTGAGCCTCGGTGCATCCAAGACAAATGAATAGATGTGCAAAATGTAAGCATAAGGTATACTTATTAAAAATGTCCCTAATCTAACCATCAAAATCGAGTAAATAAAAGGGAGAAAGACATGGGGTTGGAAGACATGCACATACGCACGCACATGTATTACAACATTGCGCCCTCGTGAAGGAGGGTCCGAATGAATAAGTTAACTAGCTACGCTAATTAAGTTAACTAATTATAAAATGAATTAATTAACTATTCTAGTTAACTAATTATTACAACATGTTATTTAACTAACTATTCTAAGATAATTAAATATTACAAAATGACTTAATTAGCTAAACACTTTAACCAACTAATTACAAAGCAAGTAAATTAACTACCACTAATTAACTAAATAAAGCAGTTAAATGGCCTCGAGGGGTGAGGGATGCATGCATGCTCGGTTTCTCCTCCCGAAAATGCCACTGCCTTGCCATTACAGCCTTTATTTGCACACATTTGACCAACGAAAATTATGCCAACTCCCAGAACACCTCTGATCCCTTTTAGGAGCACACAAAGTAACCTTCTTCATTGATGTCCGGTTGGCTGATACTGGTAGCTGTTGGCCACTGCTGGTGGCCGGTTGGCCACCCCTTCCCTGAACTTCCTTTTTTGCCATAATAGAGAGCAAACAGAGGCAAAACAGTGTATTCTCAAGGAGTGTATGTACTACTACCCTCTTTATCATCACCCAAGCTCAAAGGAGTGTAGCTCTTGGCCCTCAAACCATCAACCAAGCATTTTTCATGCATGATGGCTAAGGAACCAAGCTTATACAAGCTTAATGAGTGCACAAACAAGACTCAACAAAACCACTGCCCCATCATGCATGATCAAGGGTGGTGGTGACCAAGGAAAGTGGCACGTTTCATCACTTTGAGTATGAAATGTCCCATTTTCCTCATTTTCGAATTAACGCCTGATCCGAACACATGCTATGCAACACAAAAGATGCTTCATCTTGCCTCTTACTTATCCAATTTTGTTTACTCATTTTAGATTACCGATCAATTCTTTATCCGGTTAAGTTCGAAAGTGAGTGTCTTCTCTAATGGAAGAGGTGTCAACCAATGGATGATTTAAGGCAAGAGAGAGGTCATGACGTTGATTAGTAGAAACCCTCAAAAGAGGATTGAAACCATTAAGCAAGAACCTCGATCTCAAGCTTAAACACAACCTGAAGGTTAACCAACCCTCAAAGCAAATGAAAAATTAAAGAAATGAGAGAGGTTGCAGATATGTTAAATGCTGGAATGGAATGCAAAACAACACTAAATCATGCCATTAACTCAAAAGAAAGATGATCAAGGCAATGAAACAACAAACTAGTGAAGGAAATTGCACTACAACCATGCCATACAAGGCTCAAAGGACCTAACCAACCTAAAATAGAGCTAAAACAAGCCAAAACAATAGCAAAAACGTGTTGAGATCAAGTTACAAAATGCTAGAAAAGCATGCTCACATGTTAGGCTAACTAGGCATGCAAGCAAGACACAAGGAGGGGAGGCTACCCCCTCCAATTTTGGATTTCAAAAGAAGGTTTTTGTCACTGAAAGACCTCTAAGATTTAGTAGTTAAAAGGCCCAAAAAAATTGTTTTGAAAGTGATGAAAAGATGGCACAAAAGCTTAACAAGCAAAGAGACAAGAAGGGTGGACCACCCCCTAACACCAAAATAGCCTCAAACCACCATTTTTAAACCATAAAAATAGAGTTTTTTGGAGTCCAAAACCAGCTCAAAAACAGTGTAAAAGGATGGCAAAACAAGTATTTAAAATAAGCTTAAAATATAAGTGCCATACCTCTTGAAGACAAGATGCAAGTTAGAGCATCAAAACAAGCTAAATCAAGCCAAAATCCTCTTTTAGAGCTCAAAGAGGGCCTCAAGTAACCTCAACTCAAAGATAAGCAACTTTGGTTAGGGGTTGATAGGTTAAAGTTTGAAGTATGCAAGCTTCTAAGCACAAAAGCTCAAGAGAGAGAAATCTTGAGAGAGAGGATTGTAGAAAGAGAGAGAGGCTCCCAAAATTTTCTAACCTTGCAATATGAGAGATATGCCATCTATTACAAAAATATAAGAGCCTTGGTCGAAAATATCATGGTAGAAATAACTAGAGCAGTGTGGAATAGCTGGAGGGGAAATATCTGCAAAATATCTGAGTTTTGGACACCAATGGCCGACCGGCCATCACTGGTGGCCATCGGCCACATCCGTGGCAGACCACAAAAATCTGCTTTTCGGGCCTGACATCAAATGGACATATCTCCTTCATCTGGACCCCTTTGCGGGTCATTCTTGAGCCTAAATTGAAACCCTAGAAGTCTTTTTTCCAATGGCGGTTTCCTCACATCAAAATTCCAAGTGTGAAAAAAGATGTACCTCTTTTAGTGAATACTGCTCAATTTCGGTCCTAACCGGATTCATGCCTAACTTCTCCCAAATTAGTTTTCTTCCCTCCTCTCTTATTTTCTTCAACTCCAAACCTCTAAATAAGATGTTTTAAAGATTTTTTTTCAAAGAGCTCACCTCTCTTTCATTCATTTCCACTTTGTCTTTGCTCGGTTTACTGAAAAGTGCAATATGTAACGAAATACGAGTCTCGAAACATCGTAGAAACTTTTTTTCAAAAATGTTTTGAAAGAGAGTGTTTTAAGGTCTAAAAATCATTTTGGTCAAAATAGTTTTAGTCCAAAATGGGGTGTAAGGTTGGGATTTGAAGCTCCTCTTGCGGAAGAAATAGAACCTTTGCACAACATAGCCTTCGTCTTCGAACAATCAACCTCAGGCCCCCAAGTCTTAAAGGCGATGTAGACGCTCCCGAATCAGGGCTTGCTACTATAGTTCGGACTCAAATGTCACGGTTCTGAATCTAATCTCGCAAAGTGCAATGCAAGACCGATAAATCACTAAAGAGTCCAAATCCAACAAATCATTT